TTGCACTTTTTTCATTTTGAATGATGTGACATGTTTGTTTACTAGTGTAGTACACAAACAAAACCGTATTTAAATTTTGTAGCTCTCTGCTGAATTTCTATAAGAGAGCTCATGTGTGTCCTGGAAAGGAAGTTTAATGCAGAAGGCGCGCCAAAGTTGTGCAATAAAGTTGACTGAAGTCTGATCAAGCAACACTGAGCATTTTTGTCATACTTCTGTCGTATTTTTGCAAGTTAGAATGATGTCGAGGCTGAATGCTGGCATATCCTGTCACGCCCTACACACGTGGAGTCATATCCTACATACGGGGTCACATCTACACAATTGGAGTCATGTTCTATATACGGGGAAGTCATATCCAACACATGGTGAGTCATATCCAACACACCGGGAGGCATGTTCTAAAAACAGGAGTCATATCCTATACAAGGGAAGTCGTATCATACATACATGGAGTCATATCCAACACACGGGGAGTCATATCTTGCACACTGGGAGTGATATCCTACACATTGGGAGTTATATCCTACAAACGGGAGTCATGTCCTACATATGTGGACAGCACACGGAAGCCATACCCTACAGAGAGCCAGGTTTTACAAGCGAAGTGGTATGCTTCACACGGGACTCATATCCCACATACGTGGAGCATATCCTACACATAGGGAGTAATATCCTACGTACAGGAGTTATATTCTAAACAAGGAAAGTCGTATCCTGCATACGGGATTCAAATCCCTCACAATGGAGTCATGTTCCTGCACCATGGGAGTTATATCCTACACTCAGGGGACATACCTGGAGTCATACCCGGCACACGAGGCATTATATCCTACATTCAGGGGACCAGGACTTACATACCTTGAGTCATACCCGGCACACGAGGCGTTATATCCTACACTCAGGGGACCAGGACTTACATACCTGGAGTCATACCCGGCACATGAGGCGTTATATCCTACACTCAGGGGACCAGGACCTACATACCTAGAGTAATACCCGGCACATGAGGCGTTATATCCTACACTCAGGGGACCAGGACTTACATACCTGGAGTCATACCCGGCACACGAGGCGTTATATCCTACACAAGTAGACCAGGACTTACATACCTGGAGTCATACCCGGCACACGAGGCGTTATATCCTACACTCAGGGGACCAGGACTTACATACCTGGAGTCATACCCGGCACATGAGGCGTTATATCCTACACAAGTAGACCAGAACTTACATACCTGGAGTCATACCCAGCACATGAGGCGTTATATCCTACACAAGTAGACCAGGACTTACATACCTGGAGTCATACCCGGCACACAAGGCGTTATATCCTACACAAGTAGACCAGGACCTACATACATGGAGTCATACCCAGCACATGAGGCGTTATATCCTACACAAATAGACCAGGACTTACATACCTGGAGTCATACCCGGCACATCAGGCGTTATATCCTACACAAGGGGACCAGGACCTACATACCTGGAGTCATACCCAGCACATGAGGCGTTATATCCTACACAAGTAGACCAGGACTTACATACCTGGAGTCATACCCGGCACATGAGGCGTTATATCCTACACAAGGGGACCAGGACCTACATACCTGGAGTCATACCCGGCACCCGAGGCATTATATCCTAAACACAAGGAGACCAGGACCTACATACCCGGAGTCATACCCGGCACATGAGGCGTTATATCCTACACTCAGGGGACCAGGACCTACATGCCTGGAGTCATACCCGGCACATGAGGCGTTATATCCTACACACAGGGGACCAGGACCTACATACCTGGAGTCATACCCGGCACATGAGGCGTTATATCCTACACAAGGGGACCTGGATATACATACCTGGAGTCATAGCAGGCACATGAGGCGTTATATCCTACACAGGGGACCAGGACTTACATACCTGGAGTCATACCCGGCACGTGAGGCGTTATATCCTACACAAGGGTACCAGGACCTACATACCTGGAGTCATACCCGGCACATGAGGCGTTATATCTTACACAAGGAGACCAGGATATACATACCTGGGGTCATACCCGGCACATCAGGCGTTATATCCTACACAAGGGGAACAGGACTTACATACCTGGAGTCATACCCGGCACACGAGGCGTTATATCCTACACAAGGAGACCAGGACCTACATACCTGGAGTCATACCCGGCACATGAGGCGTTATATCCTACACACAGGGGACCAGGACCTACATACCTGGAGTCATACCCAGCACATGAGGCGTTATATCCTAAACACAAGGGGACCAAGACCTACATACCTGGAGTCATACCCGGCACATCAGGCGTTATATCCTACACAAGTAGACCAGGACCTACATACCCGGAGTCATACCCGGCACGTGAGACGTTAAATCCTACACACAGGGGACCAGGACCTACATACCTGGAGTCATACTCGGCACATGAGGCGTTATATCCTACACACAAGGGGACCAGGACTTACATACCTGGAGTCATACCCGGCACATCAGGCGTTATATCCTACACAAGAAGACCAGGATATACATACCTGGAGTCATACCCGGCACACGAGGCGTTATATCCTACACAAGGAGACCAGGACCTACATACATGGAGTCATACCCAGCACATGAGGCGTTATATCCTATACAGGGGACAAGGACCTACATACCTGGAGTCATACCCAGCACATGAGGCGTTATATCCTACACACAGGGGACCAGGACCTACATACCTGAAGTCATACCCGGCACACGAGGCGTTATACCCTACACAAGGAGACCAGGACCTACATACCTGGAGTCATACTCGGCACACGAGGCGTTATATCCTACACAAGTAGACCAGGATATACATACGTGGAGTCATACCCAGCACATGAGGAGTTATATCCTACACACAGGGGACCAGGACCTACATACCTGGAGTCATACTCGGCACATGAGGGGTTATATCCTAAACACAAGGGGACCAGAACCTACATACCTGGAGTCATACCCAGCACATGAGGCGTTATATCCTACACACAGGGGACCAGGACCTACATACCTGGAGTCATACTCGGCACATGAGGCGTTATATCCTACACAAGGGTACCAGGATATACATACCTGGAGTCATACCCGGCCCGGCAAAGTTTTACAGACATTCCTCCGACGCGATATTCATAATGTCAACCAATCCATTTGGACATATCACCTTTGAACAACAGTTTGGTTTGATAGGCATGGTTGTCCGCCACTTGCTTCAAACCATGGCAAGCACGAGATATTAGACGTAGATCTGAGAGAGCGTTTCTGTTGTTTCCTGTTTGCTAGCCACTGACTGTCTACAGGAACCAAATGGGGACATTTAATACATCTTCAAAAATATTCCGCCGAGGTGATTCCAAACACACCCTTACAGAAAGACTGGAAAAACAGTCAGGACATATTTAAACAAAATTGGTACTTAAAGCTCAGATCCCAAGCAAATACGAATAGAATCAATGTTAGACAACTTGAACATAACTGTACGTAAACTAGTTTATCAGCATAAGCTACATCACATATGTACATATACTTAGAGATCACTCCAGCGCTGTTCATAATCAAGTTTTGAGGAAAAGTTCGCCATCAATACAATAATTTCATATCCTTGTTTTCTGATTTCAATACAGATAAGAACATTCACATTAGACTGGCGGTTACATGTACTTAATGCAAGCAGCCAATGAATGTTATCGACGTTGGCATGTTAGCTACATGTTTTCGGCGTTATGTTTGTCTATAGTATACACACCGGCCCATACATCAATGGATGTATGAGTATGACACGCTGATACTATGGTGTTTGCCACAACCCGAGTCAAAGGAAATGAGGAAGTCTGACACGAGCTCTGCTATTCAACAAGTGCCAAATGTTTACAGAATCGAGCCAATTATTCTCTGCCGTTGACGTTGCAGATTATCCAAGACATTGCAGGATAATTATGAACAAGAAATAGTCGGTCCCTATATATGGATAATCAATATGTCATTAACACCTTTATGAAGACAACATGTCAACATCGCTTTAAAACAAAATCGTGGGATGTATGAATTAATGTAAAATGTGGATACTTTTTTCTGGATATGTAATTAGAATAAACACAGACTTTTGAAACTAAATAAAACACGTGTAGTGACAGTTACTTTAAAACTTAAAGAGATCATCACCCTGCGTTATTTCGTGTGACGAATACTGCCTGTTTAAAGTACCACCCCCGTAGTTAGAAAGTATGAAGAAGAGAGTAGAGTGGTTAAATAAATAACCTTTGTAACACGTTAAACGTTAAACGAAATATAAAGACATTCTTTGTTTCGCAATCAAGGGGAAATTTATTATACACAGACTTTCCTTGCTGGTTTTTATCGCGTCTGTGATTCAGTTCAACCCGGAAGATGAACTTACAACTGTATAATGTTTTGAACGTAGAATTTTAAATTGATATAGCATGGGTCAATGCACGAAATAATATAACCGTGCCCATATGATCTGATAATGTACTATCAGGAAGTATTTTGCTAAACTAGTGCATTAAGTTGTGCTAATGAAAACAACAACAACATCACCATCGCTCTTTCTTTGGGGAAATGGTATAGACTATTCCATCCTTAGCATGAGAGTATATTAACATATTCGCTGACCAATCCCCAATGCCTTTATTTAATTGTAAATTTCCCATTTCAGATGTTTTCCCGCTCACCGTGTGACGTCAAATCCTCACTAAACTATCACTAATTAGAACTTCCTGAGAATATGCGTAGTTCCTGTTATACATTGTCCAACTTCTAGAATACATATGATATGATATATAGTATAATAATTGGGGTATATTTCATTACGTGTGACAAATTTGTGTGTTCAACGTATAACAAAGTGAACGATAAATTGTGATAACAAATGAAAATAACTTACCTGCACGAATGACTTTTCCCCTTAAATCTGATTGTGGTTTATGAAATCACCCGACTGCTTGTTGTGCAACGAAACCGGAATATGAAGTAATTTTGTTGATAAATGTTAAAGTGTGTGCTAGTGTCATGGTGAGACAGAGAGGGTTCGGTTAAACCTTGACTAGTGATCTGGTAGAATCGTGTGTAAAGAGGGGGAACGAAGCAGGCAAGGATGACACTCATCTTCATCTTCGTCGTTGTGATCAGCCTCTCTGACGGTAAGCATCTTCGTTTGGTTGTTTTTCAAACAGGAGATTGTTCTGTAGAAAAAAGACACCCCCCCCCACCCCACCCCCGCAAACCTGTTTGAAAAGCATGTAGGAATATTGTCCTGCAAAACATGTGACGTGCAACATTCTGCTGGTAGCACCGCCAACTTGTCTCTGGTTCATGGGTTTGCCTATGATATGGTTGCATTGTTTCTAATGTGCCTGGGCGGTGGGGTAGCCTAGTGGTTAAAGCGGTCTCTCGTTACGCCGAAGACCGGGGTTCGATTCCTCGCATGTGCACAATGTGTGAAACCCAGTTCTGGTGTCCCCCGCCGTGGAGTATTGCTAAAAGCAGCTTAAAACCATACTCACTCACTCACTCTCGGGTGCGTAATGCCTCCTCATTGGACGAGGGGCGGCGCGGTAGCTCAGGAACGAAGGCCCAAGTTCGATTTCCCATATAGGTACATGGTGTCCCCAGTCGTGATGGTGCCGGAATATTGGTGAAAGCGGCGTAAAACGTAACTCACACAAACATCAAATGTACGACGGCCTACATATGCGCTAACCATGCTATTCATTTAAATGATGAAGATGAATTCAGTGACTTTATTTGTTTCAGCGTCTACGACATCCTCTCCCACAGTGACTACAGAAGCTACAGGTACACCATCAAGTATTACGACACTGGTGACCACAATGCCGGCCACGTCTACAGGAACCACAACAACGGCAACACCAGTGACCTTTTCATCTGCAACTACAACTCCTAGAGCTACATCATCGGATTTTGGAACAACGAAGAACACATTGGAAACTACGACATCCGTAACCCCACTATCTGCAACTACATCTTCAGGGATCACAACGACATCTAATACACCATATACAGAGACTTCGGAGACAGTAACCTCTGCAGCAGCTACAACACAGAAAGGGAGCACAATACTGACTACAACACCAAAGCAGGGTATATATGTTTACACATTGGTTTCAGTGGAACGCTCTTAAGCCGGTTTGATACGCATGCGTTGATTAGGAGTTCAGAATTTGAAAAAAATAGGTTTGTTTGTTGTTTTACGCCGCACGCAGCAATATTCCAACTATATGGCGGCGATCTGTAAATAATCGAGTCTTGATCAGACAATCCACTGATCAACATCACGAACTTCGATCTACGCAGTTGAGACACGATGACATGTGTCAACCAAACCATTGAGTCTGACCACCAGATCCCATTAGTCGTCTCTTACGACAAGCATGGATTGCTGAAGACCAATTCTAACCTGGACCTTCACGGGTGATTTTGGTAGTTGAGCGACGACTCCTACTCAAACGCAATCGCGCTATGAATTCCTATGCTCTGTTGAACGCTCAAAGATCAAACAGTGCGCAGATGATGATGGGTATGCATTGCATGATGCATGTGTTTATGTCAGAATACTTTCGGTTTTGAACACAGAGAAACACAATATATCAGGCCAATCGTTCTGCATTGCTTTACAGTGAAGTATTTTTCTATTCCGTTGAAGCTACCTCCTTTTTATGACAGCATTGGCCGTGATATACGCCATTCATTGCTGACTCCTTACAATTAGAAAGACAAACAAGTTTTGCAGTAAACACAAAAAGAAGAGCGTTTGCTCAAACTACCAACATATTCAAGCACATCTTGAACTCTATATATTGATATTAACGTGAGAGTGAATTAGATGCGAAAATGCGAGTGGTCTTTGCTTGAATAAATTATACTTCGCAATGCTTTTTGTAACATTTCTATCAAACATGATGGCAAAGGTCATCCTTGATCTTGTATTCCTTTGCTAAACACTAGTAGAAAGCGGACATACCAATGTAAATATAAAATCAAGCAGGTTTCTATTCCTCATCCTTGACATGCAAATTGCTAGTATCCAGTTGGATTAACATCAGGGTGAAGTCGCATTTTTCGCTGGGAGACGCGATAGTTTCAAGATTTACAGTATACCAATGTGTTCTTTGTGTTGTATATTGTCCTCTTCATTGATATTTCTAGGGTGCCATACCAGCTGTACCTGTGTATGTGACGATGCTGCACTAACAACGTCGACGGTGTTGTTGTTTGTCGCTGTCCTCGTTATCTGTGCAACAACGGTTATTCACGCCGTTGTCAGGTATGTTGTCACAACATTGAAAAGACATAAAACATGTCCATATACAGGCGCCCCCTAACTGAAACATACATCTCTACCCGACAAGATACAAGTGTGTGGTACTGTACAGGTAGTAGCCGTGAAGATCTCGGTTAGAATATATATCTTCAGTAACCCATGCTTGTCGTAAAGGGCGACTAACGGGATCGGGTGGTCAGGCTCCCTCACTTGGTTGACACATGTCATCGGTTCCCAATTGCAGAGATCGATGCTCATGCCGTTGATCACTGGATTGTTTGATCCAGACTCGATTATTAACAGACCGCCGCCATATAGTTGGAATATTGCTGCGTGCTGCGTAAAACTAATTCACTCACTCACTCACTCCTGCACAGGTAGCACTCGATACCAGGTAAGATGACAACTGCTCATTCAGACTGTTATTTGGTGCCAAGTGACAGAAAGTAAATCTGTTCCTCCTATCAGTTCGTCTGTATATGGTTCATTAGGTCCTTCCTCGCCACCTTCCACAGAAAGACGAACTAATTGTGTAAAGCCTTTGTCAGAATTACTTTGAGTGACATTTTTGAAGTTGGAAAGTTCAATACAGAACAAGCTTTATGGATAAAAATGTCTTTTATTTCGCGAGTGCGACGTTTCGATTCATATTTTTGTACTATTGCCTGTCAACGGTACAAGAATCTGTATCGAAACGTCGCACTCACGAAAAGAAGAAGTTGTTTTTAAGTTCGTTTATATTCCTTTGTCAGAAACTGGCCAAAACGCGGAGAGTTTCTGGACAAATGGGTTTCCAGAATTAAACACGTTGTTATACGTGTTCTGTTTCCTATATATTCAGGGAGGAGGCGACAGTGAGTGTAGCACGTGTCTGCAGGCCTTCTCCAAATGTACATGCATTAAACTACTGTGATATTACTGAATTTCTACTCAACATATGAGGATCAACTCACCTTATATTTACAGGAAACGACAGGAAACAATGGGAGGCAAAGCTGCCAGGTCTGATCCAACCTTTTCGGAGGTTATATTGAAAGACATTGAGGGAGACCACATTTACGGGAAATTGTATTACGAGAATGACCGGAAAGATAGGACTGATCTTGATATGACCCCACCTAAACCCTGCTTTCGTGATTTGGATAACAAGAAGGAGACCAAAGATGCACAGCCTTGAACAATTTAGCATACGATATGTTTTGTAAGCAAATGTCGTACGAATTTCGTATACACATAGGCGCCATATTTGTGTACAAGCTGATGTGACTGACGATCATTAAACTCAAGACTGAAGGCGTTGTAAAAGAATATTCGACACTTGTATGTTTAATGCGTAAGAGTGAACTTGAGAGATTTGAATTTGAAACATATATTGTGTTGAAATCACTCATTCAACCTAATCGTGAATACAGTTCTCGACGCTCATCAAACACTGAAAGATAAGCCGTTACGTATAGATTCCTTTAGGTCTATCGAGGATCTGTTGTTCTTCAGTAACAGTAAAATATCCAAGTCACTTTCACTGAGCTACCCACCTGTACAAGTGAAACCACTTCGTCTGATTGTCATGAGTTCCCGTGTTCTGTGACGTGAACAATTGACTTGCCTTTCCATGTGTTTAGGACGGGTGCTCCCGGTGTAACAGGATACACTCACCTTTTGCGAAGTCCTGTTTATCATCACTGTGAAACGCAGCTGTTCACATGCACGATATTTGCACATGCTTTTCAGCAATTTCATGAATGATCCTCGTACAATTCATCTGCATATATTAAAGTTTGCAGATGGTTCCCCCAAGTTAGTGGAGAAATCAATCTTCGATGTAACCATATGTATATACACGTGAGCAATAATTAAACACCACCCTATTTTGAAAATAAGATGTGATGCTACAGAAAAGTTAGGGTATAGCCATCAATTTAATCAACCTGTAGTTAAAGAAGCTTTATCCACCGACAGTTTTACAAATACCATAGCTTATTCTATTCTTTAGGAAAGAATATGTTGATGAAAATATGATGGGACTGAATCTTTATCCAAAATAACTATTCCTCTCCTGCTCAAACTACACAATAAAATTAAGTTTTGACTAAAAATAACAATTCTGTTATATACCAAGATGACATTTAAACATCAAGTAAGCTTTAATTATGCGTAATCAGGAAGAACCCGAATGTCAAAGATTCAGACCTTTTTCCAACAATTCAGATTGTTCATTGACAAAAACTGAAAAAGGCTACATTAATAAGATTTTGGAATCATTTTTAATAATTTCTGTTTTAGGACAGAAAAACACCTGTTTTAAATATAGGCAATTATCCTAATTAAAATACATGGTAATTTCAATGATGTTGAAATATCAAATTATAAAGGATATATTTTGGTAGGAGTTATTTTTTTAGAATTTCATTTCAGACAAAATTAATTGGTACAAATATAGGGTGGTGCTTAATTTATGCACAGATGTATATATTAATAACATATAGTGAGTGCTTTAAGTGAGTCTAAACTTTTGATGGTTAGTATATCACAAAGAATGTGCATGGTAATTATACAGAAATCAGCTTGGCCGATATACTAGATACACACAGTGGTTTAAACTTCCGCTTCTGTTTGGTGTCTTAAAGAACCATAGAGGCCATCATGGTCATTCTGGATGTAGCATGAGACATTACTCCCTTAGAGTTAACTATGCCATTGCAGCCGCTGCCATATTTCTTCAAGACAGGAAGACTGGTTTAAACTGTGAATGTACATGGAGGAGCAGACTCAGTATTAACGGACACACAAAACGATAATCACTCGGTTTACTATACCTGTAAATCACCATCATTAGAGATTACAACCGTAGACCAAAGGATAATTAGGTTGAATTCTGTTCACACGAGTTTGAATTCGCAAAAGATGAATTCTATGTTATATTTTGTCACTTGTAAAACAACATGCAAGGTGTAATTGGAAATATATTTTTGTTTGGGGCGAATGTGAAATTACCAACAGATTATGTTATCATCCAGATATAGCAACAATAAGTTGAAAACATATGAGACTGTTCTATTTTGATGAAACTGTTATTAACATCACGAACATGCTCGGTGATGCGTCCTCATATCACAACAATGTGTATTTAACAGCCTGAAGTGTTCTATGTGAACGAACAGCATAAAACTATGTATATCCGCTGAATATATCTACGCAACAAAGACACTTGTTGATATGAACCCGTCTGTACTTTCAATTAGCATTTATTGAACTCTCTCTGTAATAAACATTAAGTACGGGTTCATGATAATTTGTTTAGTATTATTTGCACCAATGTTCGTGCCCGCAGCAACTTATGGGGATATGCATTATGATGATGCAAATCCATCGCCATCTTTAACCTAATCGGTAATACATATTTGTAGGCGACCTGTAAATTATAGAGCACATCATAAGGAAGGAGTGCACTGGATGTAAACAGTCGGACCACTCTATCATAAGATCAGTCCACCTCTACGAGAAGTCAGTGAGTGAGTTTTGTTTTACGGCGCTTTTAGCAATATTTCAGCAAAAGCACGGCGGGGGACACCACAAATTGGCTCCACATATTGTGCCCATGTGGGGGATCGAACCCGGGTCTTCGGTGCACCGAGCGAACGCATCAACAACTAGACTACCCCACTGCCACTCAACGAGAAGTATGAATATTGAGGACTTTTGAAGACAGAATCACGACAAGAACTTTAGGAAATTCGAATATAAAATAATAATTTAACGTTTAGTTTTCTTGTGAATTCATGCAAATGGATTGTAGTTATACTTATAATTGGTGGAGAGTGATTTAACTTTTCAAACACAACAATCTTAGTGCTTGCACCTATTGTATCATGTATTTTTATGTACTGACAGCTGTCATGGGGCTGGACTGTTGCTGAGTTTGAGGTTAAACAACAAGCAAGCAAACAACGCAAACGCCCTTATGAAACCCCTCATTGGATGTCTGAGGTTTTCTAAGGTACCGACCTATTCCGAATAATTCGTAATTCTAATGCTACAAACAAGGTATTAAACTCCACCCACCCACCACGTTGAAAACAAACATTTATACAGAATAATTGTGTCAAGAATATTGCTGAGTGCGGGTTATGCTACAAACATATTCAACACTCTCTTTCGGCTCTTTATGACGGATAAGGATTGTACGCTGCGTTTACCACAATTCCACCAATATCAGCCCATGGGACACCAGAAAAGGTGTATTCCAGCTGTTGGTGTCTATACTTCCATACGTTTCAGGTGCAACTGAGAATGCCTTTCCTAAGAAGATCTGAAAGAGTGGCCTGCCTCTGACAAAAAATTTCATGATAGGTACGTGTACGACATTCCCAAACTTCACAAAGTTGCTGTTTTGACTTGTGCCATACATTTTCCCCGTGTATCATCTTCATAAGGAACTACAAACTTACTGATGTTTAATTTCATCAACTCGTAGCTGCAAATTGTGGGATTTGAAGGGGCGAAAGGCGATGGATGTTTTTATATTTTCTAGTTTCTAATCCTTGCTTAATTCGTCTGTTACGATGGGTTCGTGCTCTTTGGAAATTTGAAATGATATCATATCAATAAAATGAGCAATTTGTTTCAGTCATCTTTTAAAGTCACTTTAGAAATTATCTAAGTGTTTTCTACAAGACACATACAAGATGGGCTCTGTATACCAGATGTCTCTAATGTACGTTAGTGTGTGTGTGTGTGTGTGTGTGTGTGTGTGTGTGTGTGTGTGTGTGTGTGTGTGTGTGTGTGTGTGTGTGTGTGTGTAACTAGGCAGGATTCTCCACACCACATTCTCCATGCACCAGTGCTACTTCACATTGTAACACACACTTGTAAAAATGCCATTATGCCATTTCTCGTAGTTTCCTCCCGAGAACCGTACATCCCCACCCCTCCTCGTCTTGGTGTTAATGCTAACTTTACTTTCAACGTAAGAAACGTGTGAACATCCACAAATAGGTCTTGTGAACGTCGAATTACAGATACCCCGAATGTCCAAGTGGTTAATTGTTATGTCACCGATTTTATATGGAACATATTTGCAACAGTGGTTGGATAGTTACCGCGTGTATTCAACATTAAACTATTTTCGTTGAATTCACTGAGGAAAATGTGTTCCTGGTCCTTTTAATGTTTTTTCACGTCCGTGTACATTTACGTGACTGTTTTCATACGTACGCATGTATAGACTTTGTGTTTTTCGGAATATCATCAATACTATTTTGCCTGTACTATGTGATATTTTCAATATCGTTTTCCTTGTTTGTTTGTGTTTGAATTCGAGAACATTTTTTCCATTTGGGTCAATGTTAGTGAGGTGAATTGGTCTTATTGCAGTTAAGCTCGCAGCCTCTGAGAAGACCCTCCAGCCATATCGTGTTCCCTCACGGGATGTCCACGCAACACTTTGCAGGTGAGGAGATTAGTATTGGACAACTATGGTTATGCATGCCTTACAAATACAGCTTTTTTTCAAAGGAAAATGTGAAAAGGCTCATATGAAAAGTTTGATTTTTATAGTGTTGACCTACAAAGCGGCCGTTTACTTTGTGTTTCCTTCTCAGGAGCCCTGGTCAGAATAGATGCTAATACGTTGCTGTTGCTGTGGATCTTCGGTCAGGGTAGGTCATGACTTTTTGTGATCTCTTAAATATAGGTAGCAAGACACCGTAATTATCAGCATGTCTTTCGGTCGGTTGGGCGTCATCGAATCCGCTGATGTAGATCACTGTTCACTGTTTAAGTTCATGGCTTGGCTGGTCCAAAGTTATCGTTTTCAAGCTGCCAAGATATACTCCCCTGAGAACTTTAAACATGTTTAGTGGGTCGGTAAACAACCTTTACTGACCCTCGTTATTTTGTTCCTGCATCTTTTTAACACATTCCTTTTTCATTCTTGTAAAACAGCCGTGAGGCAGAAAGGGTAAATATGCCAACGGAAAAAGGTAACTGTGCATAACATAAAACATATAATAAAAGTAAATAACCATAAATAACCATGTTGCAAAGCACTGAAAATCGACGACACGTATCGTGCGTGGCACGTGCACATTGAACTTACTCACTTTTTTGCATTCCTTTTGATACTTGAAGTTTATACCACCTGATATTGAAAAGTAAAGAACGGTTGATTATTCTCCAGCCTCTGAATGTTGTGGAAAACAATTTCAACCTAAACTGCTCGCACGTTATGCCACGACTTATAGAAAAGCAGCGTCTCCACGTTGTGGGTATGCTGGAGACTGGAATGGCCCAAAATGAAGTGACCAGACATTTTGGTATCTCATCTCCAAGGATACGTTTTCAACATAATGGGAACAAGAGTGATATGCCCCGGACCAGCCGGCCACCTGTGACGTCACGTCAGCAAGACAACCACATTCGGCTGACCCATCTGAGAAATCGATTCCAGACTGCTAGTTTGGCTGCTCGGACCATTCCTGGCTTACGTCAAATCAGTTCCTGGACTGTACGGAACCCACAGAGGGAGCAAAACTTCCGGTCTGCAATACGCCCAATGCTGCTCCAACGGCACCGACAGGCACGTCTTGCCTGGTGCAGACAGCATCTACGGTACAGGTGACAAGACTGGGATGGGTGTTTTGTTCACTGGCGCGTCACAGACGGGTGTACAGACGGCGAAGTGAACGGTATGCTGACGCGTGCGTTGTTCAACCTTGACAGTTTGGTTCCCCAAGCTTTCTTCAATCGCTTAGTGTCGTCTATGCGTCGTCGTTGTAAAGCCTGCATCAATGCCAATGGTGGACACAGACGATACAGGATTGTGAACTGACCTTTGACACCTTATCTCTTCAAGGGCGTGTCACGATGCATATGGCTAGTGTCAGATCATACAGTGATCAAGGAATATTCCACTAATCATGGTATTATCTTTTTGTATTAAAAATGGCGTAACATAAAATAATGCACAGTTACTTTATTCCAGTAGGATATAAGTACATCCTGTCGACTAAACTATCACCCCAAAGTACAGAGTGGGAACAGAGACTTATCCTTGTAAAATACCCCATGGGGTAAAAATACCCCTGAGAGGCAAATTTGTCGTATAAACGGGTCTGTTAACAGGGGAGTAAATTGTACTTCCAGGGGGTATTCTGCCCCTAGTCAAGAGGTGGAGCAAATTCTGTTACCTCCGGGGGTATTCTACCCCCTGGGGTAAAAGTGTCATGTAAACGGTCTATCAAGCTAAATCCAACCAGGGGTACATTTGTAGACACTGCCACCCTTTCTTATAATGGAATGGTATTCCAGGAAATCTAGACATGCATTTTGTTGGTGTGTATGTTGTTGGTATACACTACCCACCCTGTCATTAATCTGTAGCCCTACACTGGAAACAACATGCCTCCGATAAACAAGGGTTTACAGCGTGGTTAAGCCTGGACAGATGATGAGACAAAGGGTCTGCTTAGTATCTGCGGAGACATGCCCATCCAGTCCCTTCTGGACAGCCCCTCAAAGGTGATACAGCTGTTTTTCAAAGGTGAACAAAGTAATGCATGAACTGGGCTTTGCGAAAACGGCCACACAATGCACAGAAAGAACGAAAACACTTAAAAATCATAGTCATATAGACAGTGTAGGGATTCACTTAAGAGGAGTGGACAGCCCCGAAAACTCATATCTGATCTTGAAGTTACTGATGATCATGTTACCGACAACATTACTGATCATGTCGAATTTGCTGAGCCAGAAGATTATGAATATGTTAAAAATGGCTAACAAAATGATCATATGAAAAGAAGCAAAAAGGAAAACAAAGAAAACCCAAACTGCAAACAACTTTGAAAACTGTCATGGACTAGTTTGCTAAACCTAATGAAGATATTAAAGCAAGGCAGATTGAGCTGAAAAAAGAAACAAATTGAGCTGGAAATGAGAAAAATGACGAGAGAAAGAAAATAGAGAGTTTGCACTTAGGAAACTGGATAAAGGAGAAAGACAGAAAGCTTCTGACAGAGAACACCAATTGCGTATGCTACAGTTCATCATGAACACCATATGCCAATCCATCATCCATCCAATGTCCAACATTCTTGTCCAGTGGTATCAACTTGACCTTGTGGTCCTTGGTCGCCATCATGTACCTCAACCTCATCCAGCCAATCAGGGTTGAACATGTGGTCTGATTCACACATGTTATGCGCCTACATCTTCCTTTGAAGAGTCCAAATGTATTTTCAATGACCAACCGGGCACTGCTGAAGCGGAAGTTGAAGTATGACTTCTCATCTGATTGGGTTCCTCTGTTGCCGTAAGGTGTTAAGAGCTAGTGAGACATAGGATAGCCCGGATCTGCAATGATGACGACAGGCATGTCACCATCATTGTCAGCAGTACCCATTCTTTCCTTCCACTCGGGGGACTGTGGTAAGATGGGACACCATCGGCTGAAGCTTTGAATCCTGAACTAGAGAATGGAATCATGAACTCTACCTGGCCACCTGATGCACACATTTGTAAACTAGTACTTGTCATCACATACAGAGAGCAGGATCACTTAGTACCATCCTTTTCTGTTCACGTAGTCGGCGTGAAACTGTTGCGGAGCAATGATCGGGCTATGTTTTGTATCTGGCGCCAGCACAGTAAGGGAATTTCCATTTGTCCTGAAACCCTGATATGACTTTCCTTAGTTCCTCTCCTATAGGAAACTTCACAACATCTGGAAACACGTGTGTACAAGTGGCATAACACACTTCATGTACTACACAATAAACTGTTGACCAAACAGATAACCAACAATGCGATATTCTACTGTTGTGGCTAAGTAGTATATTGCCACTGCTACTCGAATCTTTTCACTGAGGCGCTGGAACATGTCCCTTGACATTCTGACGTTTTCCTTACACGAGTTTCATCAAAACGTGGTACAGTTACTTCCCACCAATATCTACTCCTTTCTTTTTCCCAAACAAGGCATTCTCTAGTGATGAACCCACGCACAAAGTTTGGACGAATCTCTTCCGTTTTCTAGATTTGGACAAACGTCTATATTTATCCATGGTTATAGAGTTATCAATCCATTAGGATTCGGGCAATATAATTCCTTGGTGTTCAAAACTCATCTGTAAATCCCTTTAATGTCTGTTGCAGCAATGACGTCAAACATCACCGTCAACGCAGCCAACGCAGTCAATGCAACCATGAACAATGGTACTTGTACACTTTCCTACTGTATGCATTTCAACATTACCATTAAAAGATCGCTGGATAAAGGTTGGCTGGTCCTGAGTTAATAAAGACAGTGATGGCAAGTTTCATCTTCAACAGTAATCCTGCTGGGAATATAGGCGGAGGCCGGGCATAATGATCATCACACACAGTACCTCCCCTCACTGACTATCCATACATACAATGTTTTACCTTTGGAACATTGTAACACAATAAACACACACACACACACACACACACACACACACACACACACACACACACAAAAAAAATACATGTTGTTATGTTTCAGTGTACAGTTATGTACTGTTCACATAACATGTTATTAACATGAACATAGCATTATATGTTAAAATTTACAAACACATACATACATACATACATACATACATACATACATACATACATACATACATACATACATACATACATACATACATACATACATACATACATACATACATACATACATACATACATACATACATACATACATACATACATACGGCCAGATTACCATGTGTACACTACTTCATTGTTTAGTCTCAGAATTGCTGATTACGGCTTTCTCGTAAACACAATAGGTTATACTATAAGGTTTATAATTGAATAAATACGAAATAATTATATATTATTGATATATAATCAATGAAACACTTTCACTTGCATTCAGATGGTTACCGTGACAATGCCATTGTCAAGTTCCTGATGGATCGCATACTTCTGTTGTCACTGGCTGTCCTACTCATCGGAGTCTGTGTTACCATGGCGACCGCCTTGTGTGTTGGGTAGGCAATATTCTCATTACACATCCGATATCATCTACAGCCTGCTGACTTCACCTTGAATAGGCGTTGACTTCACATTTACTGAACATTGACTTCATGTGGATTATGTATGGCTGTACATTAACTGTCAGTTAACTGACGGAGATATGTTGCAGATATTGTGTATACCCTTCATCAGTCCCTACTAAGAGCGCAATAATTGTCACAAGGAAACAGCAATTGATCCATGACGCTGTAGAAGTGCATGCAGCTCACATTTCATATAGCAGTGTCACAAGGAAATATCAATTTATCCATGACGCTGTAGAAGTGCCTGCAGCTCACATTTCATATAGCAGTGTCACAAGGAAATAGCAATTTATCCAAATAGGGTTGCGCAACAGAAAGACAAATGACCAGTGATCATCTATGCGAGAGAAGCTGGCAGGGGTAATGGAGGCGAAGAACGATTTGATATGCCACGAGTGGCGTTTAAAATGTTGAATGAAATATATTTTACGAGAGTAATTATCAAATATGAGGGTGGAAATCTGAGGGCTCAACTCTGTCAAGAAATGGGTGTCTACCTTTGATGGTGGCGATATTTTATTTTGACATTAATAATATTTTTCGAACCGAAGCGAGGGAAGTACGTTGCCAACCCTTGCTCGCTTCACTCCCATACAGGAAGACTGGTAATTGTTCTCTATTTGGGCTACAGTTTACCTGTGGTTGTACATATTTGTTGATATCTTCTAGTGCAAGAGGGAGGAAGAAGATCACAGAGGAAGAATGCTCCTCCAAGTCTGATGGGGGTGGAGGTACTGTCAGGTTTGACCAGTATGAGTTTGAAGATGACCGCAACTTCACAACACACATTGCCAGTGTGTCGGGAAAACAAATACATACCAACAGTGAATATGAGGCTACGCCTGAAAACCAGAGCTGTAGACCCGGATATGACGTGTATGAAAACGACCCGTTGGGCAGAAACTGTCTCTCTGCGAATAGCAGCATCGGAAGTAGCAATTGGTACGAAAACAGCTCCTCTGTTGGAGGGGACCGTCAGTATATGAACTTGTCTCGTGCGGAGACGTGTAACGATGGAATCTATTCAATTGTACCTCAACAATATGGAAAGCGTTAATTCATGTCTAGTAGAGCTATGGATGACTTTATTTTTTATCGTTGTTATCGTTTGTTAACATTTGTCAATACATGCAATCATTTCGGTCTTATGAGATCCAATACTGGACAATGTACATATCGTGGCTAACGCTATTGAAGATATATTTCGGATTCTTTTATAATGAATGATAAATTAAGGGTAAACATAAATTCAAATATTCTGCCACATTATTTGTGTCACAATGTGGCATTTGATAACAATATAGTTACCTTTTTCGAGTAAATATTATGACATCGTTATCATATCGTTATATTTGACTTAAAGTGATTGTCCCTCTCACGTGTTCCTTAGGGATCTGTTGAGGGGTGTTGCAGTTGTGACTGGTCGCTACATGATGTGTATGAGTGAGTGGGTTGGGTTTCTTGCTTATTTGACGAGTATGCGTCACTTGCCGACGTGCTAAAATAATGGACAAATTGGTCCGTGTGAAAAAGTATAATCATTGCAGAACACCGTAAAGTCTACCAATCGTGTCCATCCAGTTGAGCTCATTCAAGCAATACCTTGCCAAACTTTCTATCACACCATAACATCTACCTGACTGCGCTCTATCAATGTTTTGGAAGCCGTTGTATTCATTTGGAATGTCTCAAACAGTATCTGATCAGGGTGTGGACCTCTCATTACCACTGGAGGCCTGACTTGGTGCATCACAAATGTTCCTCCTACCAGTACACGCTGGGGTCCTGACTGGTGCATCATAAATGTTCCTCCTACCAGTACACGCTGGGGACCTGACTTGGTGCATCATAAATGTTCCTCCTTCCAGTACACGCTGGGGTCTTGACTGGTATATCATAACTGTTCCTCCTCCCTACACGCTTGTCATAACAGTACACGCGCCTGTTCCTTGACTGGTGCATGGTGCATGTTACTTCCAGTACACGCTGGGGTCCTGACTTGGTGCATCATAAATGTTCCTCCTTCCAGTACACGCTGGGGACCTGACTTGGTGCATCATAAATGTTCCTCCTTCCTACACGCACTTGGTGTACACGCTGGGGACCTGACTTGGTGCATCATAAATGTTCCTCCTTCCAGTACACGCTGGGGACCTGACTTGGTGCATCATAAATGTTCCTCCTTCCAGTACACGCTGGGGACCTGACTTGGTGCATCATAAATGTTCCTCCTTCCAGTACACGCTGGAGGCCTGACTGGTGGTGCATCATCAAATGTTCCTCCTTCCAGTACACGCTGGGGGCCTGACTTGGTGCATCATAAATGTTCCTCCTTCCAAATGTTGCATCCTCCTTCCAGTACACGCTGGAGGCCTGACTTGGTGCATCATAAATGTTCCTCCTTCCAGTACACGCTGGGGTCTTGACTTGGTGCATCATAAATGTTCCTCCTTCCAGTACACGCTGGAGGCCTGACTTGGTGCATCATAAATGTTCCTCCTTCCAGTACACGCTGGAGGCCTGACTTGGTGCATCATAAATGTTCCTCCTTCCAGTACACGCTGGAGGCCTGACTTGGTGCATCATAATTGTTCCTCCTTCCAGTACACGCTGGGGGCCTGACTTGGTGCATCATAAATGTTCCTCCTTCCAGTACACGCTGGGGACCTGACTTGGTGCATCATAAATGTTCCTCCTTCCAGTACACGCTGGGGACCTGACTTGGTGCATCATAAATGTTCCTCCTTCCAGTACACGCTGGGGACCTGACTTGGTGCATCATAAATGTTCCTCCTTCCAGTACACGCTGGGGACCTGACTTGGTGCATCACAAATGTTCCTCCTTCCAGTACACGCTGACCTGACTTGGTGCATCATAAATGTTCCTCCTTCCAGTACACGCTGGGGACCTGACTTGGTGCATCATAAATGTTCCTCCTTCCAGTACACGCTGGGGGCCTGACTTGGTGCATCACAAATGTTCCTCCTTCCAGTACACGCTTGAGGCCTGACTTGGTGCATCATAAATGTTCCTCCTCCCAGTACACGCTGGGGACCTGACTTGGTGCATCACAAATGTTCCTCCTCCCAGTACACGCTGGGGACCTGACAAAAGTTCCTCCTTAACTAAGTGACCGAGGGAGTGAAACTATACCGAATGAGCAAAGTAACCTGCATCTGAAGACCGTCTGCTCATCGCCCTTGAGGGATGCGAGCGTTAGTCAGGATCATCTTTAGTAATCATGGCAGCTGGTCCGACTGACCATGACACACCCCGAGTCTCACTGCTGTATCAGGAGAATCATTATGTCCAGGAAATAGGGTGAGTGAGTGAGCGAATTTAGTTTTACGCCGCACTCAGCAATATTCCGGCAATATGGCGGCGGTCTGTAAATAATCGCATGAGCATCGACCTGCTCAATTGGGAACCGATGACATGTGTCAACCAAGCCAGCGAACCTGACCACCTGATCCCGTTAGTCGGGAACTGTTGGCTTGACCGACCTTCACATCACGAAGGAGAAGCTGACAGGGTCCATACCAATATGTGGCGTATGCTGGCGAATGTAATTATTTCACATCACACAACGCTGAGACGTGTTTTAGCAGGACAACGCACGTCCGTGTGCTCTTCTAGTACTTACCTATTTTCGTGTGTATATAGACGACCTTGAAGACCATTCGAACTCCCTCGCTCCCTTAGTTAAATTCATGTTGCCTAAGTCTCGTCATAAAACATAGAAATACGATTTTTTAAAGTTTAAAATTAAAATTCATTTGTAAATACTATTTTCATATGAAACAAGGAATTGGAATTTCGTGTAACCATGAGACTCATGTTTCGGTTTGTATGAAAGTAATATCAGTATGTGTCAACCTCATGTATCAGATTTCATTACAATGACAAACACACCGACAAATCCAGGTTTTTGTGATATCCAGCAATACCACACATTCACTGACGTCAGCTAAACATACATCTAACGCATACAAGCTAGTAGAACATACATCTAACGCATAAAAGCCAGTAGCAAATCCCGGACGGTGTTTAACAGTTTCCTCATATCATGAAAAGGTCTTTTGATGGGTCAGATAGCTTTGAGCGGAACAAACCCATCCTACAGTCAGCTCGCTGTTGTGGTGATTTGTCTGTTATTCTGAGCGTACCCATGCAGATCACCGCTGGATCGTATGACTTGCGAAAATGTGTCATACTAAACATGCTTGAAATATAACGTCATATTGTTAATATTTTATGGTAGTTTGGAGAGAAGTTTATGGTTCTTACACCTTGCATGAAATACATACATTTACAATATATGACCATTTTCTGACAGTACATTGACCGAGTTCTCACAAAACCACATCTTCATCTACATTTAGTTGGAACATTGGGGTACCCTGGTAGTTAAAGCGTTCGCTCGTCACGTCAACTGTCCGGGTTTGAATCCTTGCATAGTCAACATGGTCGCGGCCAGTTCCTGTTATTCCAGGAATTAATGCGAGGGAGTACTGTTAAAATAAACACTAATTGTTCCTTTACGTTGTCCTGATGTTATGTATCTAATAAAGATAGACAAGGATCGGTATAGTGTAATCATAACCCATCCTGTTCATTTTTCGGAAGAGTAATGGTAGAAGGAAATTTTGTTACGACCCTGTTCAAAGTATTGTACATATTCAGTGGGTACATAGCTTCCTGGTGAAGTTAATCAGCACATGTGCGCAGAGCCCAGTGGGATACAGCCGTGCTGGTGTACCTGTGTGTAAGGTGTGGCCTGGTCCTGGTTGATCTCTCGGTGTCCTCAAGCATCTGTATCAAGTCCGTTCCGTATCTGTACAACCGTGGGCATGTTTGGCTTCATCATCGGCGTTGCTGTAATGGTTACTGATTATCCAGGTAATAATACTTGATAATAGTATGAAACATACAGTGTTTTATAACATCTCGAACGTTTTATAGGTATTCCCGTTTGCAAACACATTCATCACTGACATTTTGCCATTCGTGTTTTACTATTGTAATCGTTAGATCAATTGTTCTCGGGTTCCATTAAATTAAACTTACCTATTTGAAGACAAAGTGTTGTATCGATCAAACAAATATTTCAATAAAAACATGAAATCTTCTGTTACCTATGTTACGAAGAGATCAAAATCTACATCACATCCTACAGAATCTACCTGAAGCCGACATGAAGTAATTACAATAATTAATCGTGTTATTGATGATTTTTCGATTTTGATACATCAGTGAAGTGAAAAGGTTGTTTTTTTAATAATAAATAACTACGAGACGATGTATTTACAGCTATCCGTGTCAGAAAAATAGGCCATGGTAATAGTAGTCTTTTGATGTTGCTTCACCTGTCTGTTTCAGTAGTATCGGGCCAAACCGTCTGTAATCCCCCGAACTGTCACAAAGGTAATGCGATATGTGTACAATTTGTCAATATAACGTATACTTCCTGTTTAACGCCAATGTAAAAACGCTGCACCGCGCTCAGAAAATAATGGCGTCAATGCTGAGATCAGTGGTTGATAAAGTGAGGATGCCCCAATGTAGCCGTAGGATGATGGCGTGGAATCAGTCATCGAGTTTGACTACACGATCCAAACTAGTCGTCGTGTACGACAAGCAATACGTGTTCGGGGATCTATGCTTTGCCCGTACCTCGTAGCCTGTGCCCTGGACCATGTGTCACATTGCTCTGTGATCTCCTAATTAGAGACATTTATTTTTTTATGTCGTGGACACAATCTACCCCAAATCTTGAGACAGCAGGGTATCTTATTTCAATAACCTGTTCCTGGAGGAACAATGTCTAAAACTAAAACACCACCTGCAAGTATTGATGTGAAGGGGGGAGTGAATAATACTAGTAGACGAAGATCAAGCAATAACCACAGGCGAAAGTTGAAAGATTATGCTACTTGTGTTAAAACTAAGCAACTTTAATAACAACCTGAAATGAATGAATATATTATGAGATTATGTACTCAATAAATCCAGTAAATCATGTCTGCCACACATTATGATTGTGGTTTACTAATCAGATGTTAATGTATGTTATTACAGTGACTATAACAGCGAGTAAATTTACATCTGTGGACAACAATACTTACACCCTCACCGGCCAGGCAGCTTGGGTTACTGATGGTGTAACGTCAGGGCAGTGTGCATCGGTCGCGTCCATTTACCCAGCATGGGAGGCAGAGTTGGGGCAGGATAGGACAGTCAGCAGGATCAAGATATTCTGGGAAGGTAATTTACCGTTAGTTTCACACTAAACATTACCCGTTTGAGTGAGTGAGTGAGGTTTTGCACCGCTTTTAGCAATATTCCAGCAATATCACGATGGGGGACACCAATAATGGACTTCACACATTGTACCCATGTAGGGAATCGAAACCGGGTCTTCGGTGTGACGAACGAACGCTTTAACAACTTGGCTACCCCACCGCCCATATACGTAGGAACAAGGCAATGGTGAGATTTGTTATCGCGACCAAAAAGAATCTTCATGTATGGCTTGTGAGAGTCCGAGAGATCCGAATTAGAATTGGTCTTCAGCAACCCATGCTTGTTGTAAGAGGCGACTAACGGAATCGGGTGGTCAGGCTCGCTGACTTGGTTGATACATGTCATTGCATCTCTGTTGTGCAGTGCTCACGCTGTTGATCACTGGATTGTCTGTTCCAGATTATTTACAGACCGCCGCCATATAGCAAGAATATTGCTGAGTGATCCGTTCATCAACAAACAAACGTCGTTATAGTCTCTGATGCCCAAAGATCATCAATCTTGAACCAGAAAGGTATTTAACATACATTTTTATCTTCATTCTCATATTCCAGATACACAGGATGACGTCTATGTGTCTGTCGGGGGCAGGATATGTCACAGCGCGGCGTCCACGGAGTTCACATACATGTGGGAGCAAGAATACACCCTGGTCTGTGATGCACCCGTCACGGGGAACAGCCTCCGGATCTACCGTCAACCTACTGCTCGGATGCTGAATCTGAGTCTCTGTGAGGTGGAAATATACGGTAAATAGCGTCTGATTTTATTATTGAAATATGAAGTATGGTTGAAACATGAAGCATAATAAGGCGAGAGAGACCAGGAGATAATTTATTGCCTTGAGAGGCGTTTGTGTCACATGTCAAGAACACGACCCTCAACGGGTGCACGACCTCTGACTTGCGCCGTATGTTCTCTGCTGTTATTTTTATATATTTGGATGGTGCCACTGATGGGGCAGGATAAACCGACCTTTACTCGACAGCTGGTGTTATCATTATCTTAAAATGATTCACAAATACTCGACATTGCCTCTGGAAGCGATTTCCTGTCACTCAAATGTATTTGACTCTGACGCAACAAAACTTTCTCTTCGTCTTCATGTGCTCAAAAAATGAAAATTGTCTTTAAATTCTATGTACACCATTTCAGCAACGTCAGAATCACCATCAACACCTCCAGCATTCTCAGCTTCCCACGGACCATCTACGTCCTCCACACCAGCGACAGTGATATCACATGGAGACACCACCAGTGACGTCCATCCAACACTGTCAATCACCCTGGACAGTGCTACTACAACCATCGCTCCAACACCAACGACACTGTCATCCACTGATGTATTCACTAACCACGCCAATCCAACAACGACGATCAGTCTGACCACTGCTACAACTATCTCTTCAACACCGACGACACTATCATCCACTTTTAAATCCACTAGCCATGTCAATCCGACAACGACGATCAGTCTGACCACTGCTACAACGACGTCTTCCACACCAAGGACACCGTCATCCGTTGATACATCCACCAGTGTTAACAGTCCAACATCGATGAACATTCTGGACACAACTACCATCACTTCGTTCCTTGAGACTCTAGAAGAACTACATGAATCCACTTCTAACCATTTCCTAGCTCCAAGTTCTACAGTCACTCCACATACCGCATCTACCTCTGCCATTAACTCGAATCCAACAAACAAACATACTTATTTCACGTGGCCAACGTCAAGCCTGTTATCCTCTCAAGGTTCAAGTTCCGTGTTTCGTTCAACCCCAGTTTCCCCAACCTTAGTTTCCAACCCCAACCTTAGTTTCCATGCTTTGACAACCAGCGAAGCCTCCACACTGTACAATACGTTGCAAAACATGAGCCCACCTACATACATGCTGACCGCAACGACATCATTGACGGCTGTATCAGCAACAACTACAACCGTGAACCCTGTTTCTGAAACCAACGTACCAGCGGCGTTCACAGCGTCAGTAACATCTACACCAGCGTCCACGAAGACTACAGCCACTACCACCCTAACCTCAAATGGTGATACCCTGACAACTACTGCAGAGCCAAATGCAGCCGGAACTACGCCAAACGTTGGGCAGGAGTCGAGCACCGAGAAAGCAAGTAAGCACACCTGAACACGTGTTGGTCTCAGTTAACTAAGAAATTTAACGTCGCCTGTAAGATTAGTTAACCGATAATGTGTGAAGACCATTTCTGGTGTCACCAGCCGCGATGTTGCTACTAAAAGTGGCGTAAAACCCAATACACTCACTCACTTTAGTGGTGTCCCACTTCGATACCTTACAGCGCAGACCAGCCGCGGGCCGTCCACCACATCCTGTTGTAGGTCGTGGTCTATGACTCGCACCGCCGATCGTCCGCTGTTTAAATCTAAACGCAAAGGGTTCGTCCATTATGAGTGACATCATGATGATATTAACACCAACATCATGACCACATTTATTATTTGTTCACATATATTCTCCTGTTTCAGAAACATCAAATATGAACATTGTCATCATAGCAGGAATATTGGGAGCATGTGTGATGCTGCTGTACATGGTTGGGATCACTGTGTTCGTGTGGAGGTAAGATTTGCATGTAATAATACTATAAAATACACATTTACTAGGGTTAACTGCAAATATGTATCTTCAGTAACCCATGCTTGTCGTAAGAGGCTACTAACGGGATCGGGTGTTCAATCTCGCTGACTGGGTTGACACATGGAATCGTATCCCAATTGCGTAGATCGATGCTCATGCTGTTGATCCCTGGATTGTCTGGCCCAGACTCGATTATTTACAGACCGCCACCATATAGCTGGAATATTGCTGAATGCGGCGTAAAACTAACTCACTCACTCACTCTAACTTGACGACAATGCTGTATGCCTACATGACCAGGCATACGTACATTTATATACGTACATGACGGACACGTATCTTCAAACAGGAAAAATGATAAATTCATTACATTTCAGACAACATCGAAAGGCTTGGTACAGCCCGGGGAGGGCAAAATGAGACATTGGTGATCCGAACAGCTGCACTTTAACTTCACTCCATATTCATTTGGTGCCATACGTGACATTTAAGTCACAATCAAAACGCTTATTATTAATATTTATGTTCTTGTTTCGAAAACAATCCCAGACACCAATGGTTTACTTTCTTTTGTAACAATAGTGTCATAATATGAAACAAATGGATAGACAAGAGACAAAACCCTTTCCACGCCCATAAGACAACACTGTTCTTGATTTTCAACACAACAAAGAAGTAGAAAGGTGATAAACTAGAGATGATTGAATCACGGACACAGTAGCTTCAGCAATGTTATCTTTAAATGTGTTGAAATATGAAAACATTGTGCAGCTTATGAAATGAAAGATCAAGCAATACAGATTCGCTTCCCTGACTGACTTCCTTCTTTCACTGATTAGCTTCCCTGATGTGTGGGTTTAAGGAAAGTGTGAACAATAACGTGAATATAATAATCATTTCACTTGTTATAGCATAATTCTATCTTATTTTGGTTGATATAAAACCATGAACAATCCTTCATACGTCCAAGTAAATGGATTAGATTTATTATACACTCACTCAATAACATCCCGTAAAGCCTAGCCACATATTGTTGAAATCATTGTAATATTCTAGGTCAGAGAAATGTTGGTAATTCGCTAACGAATACAGTGGAGAATACACTGAAAACAGACATGTGTTACTGAACAGGCAACGTGACAAACGCCGAAATGTGCACATACTGGATAGATGAAGTCCTGTCGGAGGGGTGGGGTTGGTGGGTGGGGGGCGGAAGTGATACACGTGAAACCCACGAGCACATGACACAGGGGATGCAACCCTGCACGGTGCCATAGAGGATTGGATGACCGTCCCAACAATTCAACTTGCACAATACACCATAAAACATATTTTCAGCACACTCACACAAATTCGTTAAGCTGGGCAGTTAGTGTGTGATACGAACGTCATGTGGTGTTCAGCTCTATTGGATACCCACGTGCATAATGTCGGACAGCGATGTATCATGTGAAGTTAAATTTTCAGACTGTCCACCTATACGTTTCCGGATTGACTGAAACCGGCCTTTGTTGGTGAAACCTTGATTGTATGCATAACATAGCCGTGAAAATGAACATACTGAGAATTCTAATTCAACTTAGTATGTAACACGAGTTCTGATTGGTCAATGCTATAAATTTCCGACCGTATAATCAGCATATACGGTCGCAATTTGAAAACCGATTCACCGAAACCTTTGAATGTATCCCTACACTATTGGGGTAACGCTGTTTCGCAGGACATTGTCATTTGCAGAAGCCATTGGTCAATTAACTCCCCTATCCAGCTAAAATGGGTGGAATTTGTGTTAAAAAAGACAAAACAGTATCATAAATTTAATTTTAAGTTCAAACAACTTACTCGCAACGGGCTGTTGACCCAACACTGTAAGATCATGAAACAAGGTTTATGACGTCATTATGGAGCGTGACGTCACCTGCTATGACGTCATTTGACAACAGAACTGATAATGGCCCGTAGTTGAGGAATCAGCGGGCCGCTCATTTCTGTAACTAGAGGGCGGTTTCATCATAATACCGTCCATTTTATCTATAATACTATGATCTATTCATCATTGTCAAATTTAGTCTGTGTGCACATAATAAACGTGTGCAGTTTGAAAAGGGAACTACTTTCTCTGGCGATGGTGTAAGTTGAAGGAGTGATATGATTAACCTTTGACCTAGAGGAACTTTGACCTGGTTTAAATAATGAATTTCTTTCACGAAAAAACAGCGTAAAACGCGTTGAATTAGAATGGGGATAACTGTACTGTGTTACATGTTCAGTACAACCAGAAATTATTGAGAATTTGATATTGTATTTTTTTCTACTCATTACTCACGTATTAAATGTGAATATAAGCAGAACATAACTCCAGATTCAAAGACAGGTGAACAGTTAGTATTTTGTCAAGTCACCATGGGCAGCAATGCAGGCTTCAATGCGGCGTGGCATACTACTGATCAAAGAAGTTAGAAAGTCGTGGTCCATGCTGTCCCAATATCGGACCACCTCTTCTTTCATTTCAGCAATATTTGTCAGATTTTTCTTATTGACACTTTCCTTCGTAAGTCCCAAAACAGTTTCTATTGGATTTAGGTCAGGGCTATAGCTTGGCCAATCTAATAATGTCATATTTTGGGTCCGAAACCAGGCCTGCGAATTCTTTGAACGATGTTTTGGGTCGTTGTCCTGCTTGAAAATCCAAAAGTTTCCATAGAACACGTGAGCAGATGGAAGTAAATGTCCCTCGAGAATATCTGTGTAGCGGTCACTGTTCATATTCCCTTCAAATACAGAGAGGGGCGTTGCCCCTAACACAGATATGCCACCCCACAAGTAAAATTTCGGACTGTACTTTGGGCGCTGATACAAAGGTTTTTCAGTTTGTTTGGTCCAGAATTTCAGTGTATTGGGAAACAGCCACACAGAACTTTCATCTGAGAAAATCACATTGTCCCAGTTAAAATTTCTGTGCTGTAAGCACCAGTTCAACCTTCGCTCCTTTTGTTCAGGTTTCATGATCGGTGATGGAATTCCTCGACTTTTCTGCCAACCCGTTGCATGCAGTTCAGTTCTAATTGTCTCCTTACAGACAGCCACAGTTCCTCTATCAATCATATCCAGCCTTAAGTTTTCTAAACTCCTTCGTTTGTTTTAGAAACAAGAATACCAAGCCGCCTCCTGTCACTGACAGTCAATTTCTGGGCCTACCTGCGCCTCCCTGGTGCTGAATGCCATATCCATTTGCAATATTTTTCAAAACACGATAAACAGTGGACAAAGGGATGCCTGTTCTACTTGAAATCACTTTAGCTGATCTGATGTCCTTGTTATAATACTCTAAAATCAACTTCCTCTTCTCTAAATCATCCATACTGAGGATCACTGAATATGTCGTCTGCTAGCAAGTAAACAAAGGGGGATAACTCTTCACAAACTAATGAAAAAGGATTAACGGAGTTGTCTCTCTTGAATGAAACAAAGCACTTGATAGCTGGTCAAGGTTGTTTATACTAGAAATTCAATTAAACATATTCCTAAAATTCTTATAAAATTCTAAAATTCTTATAATTTCTGGTCATACTATAACTAAGCACTTGTAACTATAGACTCCATGAGCTGAAATTGTGGGTATATTGTTCCATATGAAAGGAAATTCCCGTTTGGAATATTATCTTCCTCTTGACGTACAGCTTCGTACAGAATCTTCCGCCATTTTGCATTTGTATTCACAGATTCTGATTACCACAGCAACTGAAGAATTACATGTTTCTGTGCAAAAATCTGAGATTTCCAACTCATGTACTTGTTAAGATATTGTTGAAATAAATCGTTACTGATGAAGGCAAGGCGGTACAAAAGGTGAACCAAAAGAAAGAGTAAGACTTACAGAACAACTGAACGCCACCCTTCTATTTGACGATAAATATACTAAGCAGCAAAAGAAACGTCAGTTTGGAATTTTCCTTCGCAGAAACGGATAGCTGTAAACTCATTTTATGTTTTGATTTTTGAAAACATCTTCAACTTTACCTGAGCAGAGACATTCCTTCCCAAACTCAGAATGGAACCCAGGAAACGATCTCAAAAACGCAACCTGATCTCGGAGATGGTACGGTGTTCTCCATATTTTTCATGCAATTCATGCTGCACGTGCTGTTCACTAGGACCAGCCCTATAAACCCCCAGACCTAGTTAAAACATTCACATTACAACGTCAGCAGTATGCCGTGACTCAGGACAGCTCAGAGGAACCAGGCGCAAGGAAGACTTGAAGCTGGCCACACTGCACAAGATGTTGCCAATCACTTCCAGGTCAACGACTATCTACAGGCTGCAGCAACGTTTCCGGGCCACCAACACCACAAAATGATCGCCGCCGTACTGGCAGACCAAGGGTGACCACAAGACGACAAGACCGCCATGTTGTGCGACAGCATGTACAGAATCCCTTCATGCAGGCATCAGAAACAGCACGACAGACAGTGGGAACACACGGAAGACCAATCAGTACTGATACAGCGGGAACCTCCATTGCCGTAGACCTTACCGTGGACCTATCCTCACCCCTCGTGAACGTCCACAGTTTGCCCTACAACACCAAAACTGGCGATACAGGCAATGAGAACTATTCTGTTCACAGATGAGAGTCGGTACTGCGTATCAACTGCAGATGGCAGAACAAGAATATGGCGACGACGTGGCCAGCACTCAGACCAATGTGTTATGGAAAGAGACTCATGGGGAGGTGCAAGCATCATGGTATGGGGTGGAAAAGGCCTGAAGCAGAGAGTGGGTCCTGTAGTGTTCCAGAACCTTGGTCCAGGGAGAGGAGGCGGCATCACAGCGGTGCGCTACATCGACCAAGCTCTCAGACCCCACGTCATACCACATTTCGCACGTCACCGGAACAACATTTTCCAGCATGATAATGCCCGGGCCCATACTTCCAGAGCTACACGCGACTTTCTACAGCACTACGATGTCAACATTATGCAGTGGCCAGCCATTAGTCCTGATTTAAACCCAATTGAACCCAAATTCAGAGGAGGCTGAATAATGTCCTACCAAGGCCGCACACAGCCGATTTATTGCGCCAGACTTTTCTCAGAGTGTGGTTCCAGGTGCCAATGGCCTTCATCAATCGATTGGTGCACTCCATGCATAGACGCTGTGCTGCAGTTATTGACGCTCGTGGTGGTCACACTAGATACTGAAGTCAAGAGTCTGAATGGACTGCAAACGTTCACGTAATGTCTTGAAATTGTGCTGAGTTATTCATTGATGTGTCAAAATATTGTACACAAAAAATGTTTTTGATCCGCTTATTATGTCCATTTCTGTAATGATTTGATTACAGTGCCTATCTAATTTTGAATTCGTACTGACGTTTTTTTGCTGCTGAGTTTACATCAATATACATATTTCCCACTCGCGGATTGTCTTGGCTGGTGGTTGATATGCTGATGGCGTATGTTCTTGCTGCAATTGAAATGCAGCTGGAATGAGAGTTGTAGACACTGTTGAAGCGCTCTTAAAATCCACCTACATCAATCGACACCAGT